TTATCAAATCGGACGTCCCGCTCCCAATCTTCTTCCATTAGTTTTCTGCATTTGGTTACCACCTTCTTCCAGTCTTCTGCAGATACATTGTCGACCGCACTTTTTAATAACTGCAACATTTTATTTGCCGTGAAAGGCGGTGTTGTGTTGTATCTGGCAGCATAACCTTAAAAGAAAACATATTTTAATAAGATTAATTAAACAGTAGTTAATAATTAAAGAACCTATCTGACTGAAATTCAAGCAAACACGGCACGGCACTAATTAGGTCGGCATGCGCACAAAGTATGACATTGACAGGTACTGTCTGTACTACCAAATATTACCGTGGTACTACTAAGAAATTCAGGACTTCATAGGCGTGATTTTACTGACAGCTGTCGCAGAGATCAAGCTATCTTTTATGAACCATAAGAGTGTAGAGTACATATTATACTTTACATATATATGTAAAGTATAGTACTTACTATATATATATATATATATATATATATATATATATATATATATATATAGTATATACATGTATATACATATATTAATTTTCTACAAATATCTAAATTTATTATCGGCTTCCTTCCATAATTTGTTATTATTCACCGGAAAATTCACAAAACATGAACTTTAAAATGAATTTATTCTTTTATTCACTTTAAACGTAGAATATTTTATGCATTGAACAAAATATTAATTCACAAAATTGTTCAAAACTAAATAAAATTACGAAAAATAACTGGCTATGAGAGAAAGAGAGAAAGAAAGTGTGCGCGCGCACTACTCTTGCTTATATCCCTCACTCAACTCCCGTTCGCCTCGCCCGATCACACTTTTCGTAACGCTTTCGCCACGCGTTCGCCGGCTTACTCCCCAAGTCAAGCGTGCGTAGTTTTACTTCAAAACCAATTCTTTTATGAAAAATGATTTTTCAAACCAATTCTCCAAGTGTGTCGGATAAAATGTAGCTTTACATTATTTTGTATTTGGTCGTGAACTTCGATCAACAATACCAAAATTGATGATCGAAGGTCGTGAAGGTTTGTTACAATCGGTTCAGCTCTTCCAAGAATAACCCTGGGCAAATAGACTGTCGAAAATGTTTAAAAATGGTTTGCGTTTTAATGGCATGAAGATAACACCCTCAGCTCAATACATAAGGTATTTATTCTTATATTACAGACAGACAATTCAACTTCATTATGTTTGTATAATATATTTGTATTGAATAAAACTATTATTTACGGATTTTTTTCGAAAAAACGAAAAAATCCGTAAATAATAGTTTTATTCAATGTATAGTGTTCGCGTAAATTTAAGAAATCATAATATATTTGTAGATATATAAAAGATCTCATGCTTAATATTCAAAACATATGTTATAATCTTTTGCAATTCAATTTTTTTTGACTTTTAAAGGCCGTAAGCAAAAAATTGAGGCCTATGTTTAGCAGTTGACTTGTGAATGGTATGACATGTATATTGATGACAAAGATGAAGTAATATAATAATTATAGGTTTTTCTGTGAGAAAGTTTGAAATATTATCTTGATGAAAAAATATCTCTATTAACTACATTGTCATCTGATTCTGAGCTATGTTCAATATTCTAAGCCTTTTTCTTGCTCATCGGGAAGTACTCGAAATTTGAGTGGTAAGGTGAAGAAAGTGTACTTAATAAAAAAGTGGTAAAAAGCGTAATATTGTTTTGAAGTTTGTCATTATTATAGCGAGTAAGTAAATAATCATCAAAGTAATTTTATAAAGTATAATTATCTATCTTTAGTTTTATCACTACTACGAATATCTTACAATCCAGACTTAAAAAGAAATTTGATTTTAATTAAGTTCTTTTATAAAATCTGCACATTTTGATTAGTACTTAGGAATTGAAGGAATACTGAAAGAATACCGTTAAATGCTCCAGATCAGCGAAATTAAGCCTATCTTTATTTATTTTTTTATTTCTAAATATTGCAGATTGTAAAAAGTATAAGTATGGGTAAGGCATGTTTTATAAAATCTGCACATTTTAATTAGGATTTAGGAATTGAAGGAATAGGTACTGAAAGAATACCGTTAAATGCTCCCGATCAGCGAAATTAAGCCTTTATCTTTAATGTCTTTATTTTTTTTTAATTCTAAATATTGCAGATTGTAAAAAGTATAAGCACAGAATAAATAATAAGTATGGCTAGGGTAATTTTGCTCACACTGTTGTACAACTGTTAGGTATCATGCAATTAGTAGTTTTATTGTATTACGTTTACAGTCCAGTCCAATGGAAACGATTTTTAAGGTTATTTCGACATGTCGGTTGGACGATAACGTATTTATTACAGTTTCTAACCTAATTGAATTGGCCTATTAATCTATATTGTATACCTAAGTGGCCTGTTCTGCTTTATGGCTTGTAAATTAAAATAAGTAATGGCGAGTCGACAGGTTGTGGTTAGAACGTTTATTTTTAACCAACGTATAACGTAAATATTTCGTTATTTAAGGCTTAGTTCAAAGAGCCGCTCCTGATATTCGGTCGATCGGACATTAAGCATACCAGTGTGGAGGTGACCTCGCAGATTTATTGCTATCTGACGGAATGCTATTACTACGTAGGGAGTGCAAGGATCAAAATAAATGTTTATACTACCAAAATAATAAAAGAATGTCAAGTAATTACGAAAATTAACATACCTTTTACTATAATCAAAAACATATTTCATATAAGAACACTTCGTTCAGCTTTAAATTGTTAACTGCAGCTTAAAGATTTCCATAATGATACCTCATATTTACACGAATAATTACACCTTGAAATAAAACTAATTTTACGGATTTCATGATATATTTAATAAATAAAATAATTTATAAATTCGTAAAATTAGTTTAAATTCAATGCGCAGCTGAAAAGTTATCATTACAACCTATCAAAAGTCCACAGCAATGGTGAATTGTAGCTTTTTTTATGCAGCTGCAGAAGAAAACGATCGCCGAATGAGACGAGCATAAAATCAAATGTTATTTATTTACGCTTTGTAAATTCTGATTAAATACAACATATTTTTATTTTGATTATTTGATTTTTATGTTTTACGTAAATATTTCAAAAAGGCAAATGTTTGGCCACTACATACACAATTTTCTTGGTTACGAATTTGTCAATTAGTGAAATAAAACGTCCAAAGTAATGTCTATTGAAAAAAATATAATTTAAGATAATGATATTATTAATAAGGCTTGAAAAATGATCCGTTACACAAGCACTAAAATTGTCATTATTCTGTCACGCACCCGCTTCACCAAATCCAACCAACCAACACCAACACCAACGCTCAGAGCCATGGACACATACAAATTAGGACGTTACGATGTTTGGTGTTAAAACGCTTGATAAGTGTACAGATTTGTGTCAATATTATCCGCCAATATTGATTATGTCTGCTAACGGAGATGATATTAAGTCATTTGAATTCCATGGCAAGATAAATATTAAATAATCGTTTCCGTGAGAAGATATGATCAGAAAATTTTAGCGCAAAATCCAGAATTATAATTAAGAATTGTCGGATTTCTGATCAGTGCACCAACTTTAATGATGAGTTACAATATTACTGATAATCAGGTGTAATTAGACTGATATTCAGGTATAATCAGACCATTTTTGGGCAAAATCTAGATTTATAATTCAGAACTGTTCGAATTCTGATCAGTACACACAGCTTCATATTAATTTTTCTCAACATAAAGTCGTGTGCAGTGTTTCTTGACTTGGACCATGGTGACAATAATATAATTGCTAAATCATTCAACCTCTTTTCACCTTCTCATAAAAAAAAAAACTCTAACAGGCGTCCGATGTTAACACCAATGCAAAACCGCTTTGGATTAAAACTTGGTCAGAATACGCCTAACCCTGCTTCTTGTTGTTTATTGACATTCCTCAGCCGGACATGTGAGAAGGATTTACTATTATAATCTGCGAAATATGGTAAATCAAAGGTTTCATACCTTCTCTAAGCGCCTAGGGTCTGATACTTTTACGTCTGGCATATATGACATGGTGTACCACAAAATTGGGTGCCATAAGGTCATTCTAGCCTTTAATAAAGTCACACCTTTCAAAACCCTCCGGATGATCTGGGTTGATGAATTTTCTTGCGCTACACTAGAAATCAATAATTTGTGCTTTGTCATAATTATGGATTTTATAATTTATAGAATCGGATTTACTTTGCGAAAATTCTAAAATTGTTTTTATCAACGTAAAAAATACAAAGTAAAAATGGTGTCGATTACTTAGTTTTTTTTTCCTTTTCTATTTGGGTGTCTATAATCGCGTACACAATTATAGGTAACTAACCTTGCATCTTTTTCTTCATTATCGGTGTGTATCGTCTACTACACGATAGTATATAACGGGATTAGGGGATTTTATGGACATAGAGATTTGTTAAAATTAAATCACTGGACTAAGAGTTTACCTTTTAAATGCCTTAGAATTTTTGTTAATAAAAGTTACAATAACTAAATAAGTAAATATTTAATAAAAATAATTACAAATTAATTAAAGCAACATATTAATTTTCCTACGTGGTAGAGCCATGCTGCAGTTACATTAGTAGTAAAGTTGTAGCATGAATGGGTTAATGCTGCTGTGTTTCGTATGGTGAGTGTAGAGAACCGGATACCCTTTTTGCTGGAAACGAGGCATTCCATCTTAGTCCTCATGGGTGAAAACGCATTTTAATTTTGATTCCTAATTGAGGGTAGATGTAGATGTCTATGCGCCATAACAATCACATAAATTCAGGCGGACTGTGTGCTCGTTTGTCACCCTATCTTATAAAAAATCCATATAATAATTAACAATACAGGCATTTATCGGTCGCCAGAGATAGCTGCTGCAAATGAGGTCAGAAAAGTTATTAGAAGTTGTCCCTTTCACGGGTTGTTACCTACATATTATGTATATGTGCACAGTTAAATTATTTCCACTTACATTATAGAACGGATTCGTGGAGTGTCGGAGCGGTGTAGAAGAGTGTGGACCGATGGACGACTGCGCAGTCGTGATGCCACGTGAAGGCTGTTGCGCCCGATGCAAGGGTTGCTGGTACAACGGCACCGAGCACACCTCACACACGGAATGGGGAGAGGACGGTCGAGTGCTGCGCTGCGAAGCCGGTGTGATCACTATCTCGCGGCCGGAGTGCTATGCCCCTTGCGAACGTCCAAGACATCAGCGGCATACGCACTACAATTGTCCTGTGTGCGACGGTAACTTCTATTACATTACTTTTATTCCATGAGCCTTTTTATAAAACTGTTGTGACAATTGAAACAGGCCACCTTATGGGAGACATACAAGCCGTGGTAGCTTAGACGGATAACGCCCGCTTTAAATTTAACATTACGCGAGCAACCCAGGTTCAATCCTCGCCGGTACTAATGAAACTGTTAATTACAATGTTTAGTACTGATTTACCACGTGCTCGGCGATGAAGCTAAACCTGCATGTCTGAGAAGTAAGAAAAAAATTCGAAGACATCTGAAGTTCACCAATTCGCATAGTGGCAGTGCGGCAGACACTCCCTTGCCCTAAAACCCTCTCAGAAATTAGAGGTCTGTGCCCAGCCTTGGGACGTATATATAGGCTATAACTTTTACGGTAGGTAGGTGGCAATACAGATTCGTTGTCACCTCTGAAGACTAAGATGGAATGCCTCACAACCAGTAATAATACCGACTCCCCTTACCTCTCGTTTCCCTCGTACGGATCATTGAATTACAAGTATTGCTTTTTTGTGACATAAATTGGTAAGTGGTTGATACTTGATGTAGGTACGCTAGATTCCACTTGAAAGAATAGAGGCTCTGCTCTTACCTTAAATTTTATAGAACACAGAACGCTTATTTTGGTAAAACAATGTTTCGTGGTAATTATTTGCTTTATAATTAAGTAGCGCCCCACCGATTCTTCGCTCGAGTGGGATCTATTAATGTGGCGTTATTTATGTATTATTTAACTTACGTACGTGGTAGAGCCATTCTGCAGTTATATTTTGGTTTCAGCACGAATGGGTTGGCTTGGCGGGGATAGGATCACGCTCTCACAGAATACCAACGTCAAATAGCAGCTTAATGCAGCTTGTTTGGTGAGTGTAGAGAACCGGAGACCCTTTTTACTGAAAACGAGGCATTTCATCTCAGTCCTCGGGGAGACAAAGTATCTGCATCGTGATTCTTAATTGAAGATAGATATAGATGCCTATGGGTCACAGCATCCACTTAGCATCAGGTGGACGGTGTCCTCTTTTGTCATCCTTATTCTATAAAAAAATTAACAATGACCATAATTTTATCAATTTTTCGTTTTCACAAGAAAATATCCATATTTTTCGGATAAAACGTAGCCTAGATTATACCCGGCATTGCTCTTTATCATTTCGTCGAATTTTATTTCAATACGTTAAGCAATTCAGACTATTAGCCCTGATAAATATACAGGCAGACATAGACAGACAGACAAATATTTTTTAAATGGTTATTCATGTCTTAAAAGCATGCAAATTAACTCTCCCGGCCCCCTCACCCTTAGCTCAATAAAACGTAATTGTTTCAATAGACTGACACTTCCATTTTATCTATATGTATAGATGAAACCGTGTGATGGAATGTTCCATTAAGTAATTAAGTTTAATACGTAAAATAAAATTTCCTTATTATTCTATGTTTGAAATTATTAAACATGACAATAAGATAACGGCCTTCATTAGAATTATGGTTTAGATCAGCGCATAGCAATGTTTATACGTGTATATATTTTAAATTTTAATACATATATATATTGAAAATTTATTAAAGGGCCATGTATTTAATATAATTTCTTAAAGTAATTTTCTTTTAAAATTTGAAAGTGAGTTCCTTGTGCGAGTCTGAAATAAAACAAAAAATGACATCAAAACGCTCTATTTCACGCTGCATCTTCCCACCAAAGTACTTTTATCTCGGACCATTATAATTGCTGAGCGCATCGGCGTATTCGTGTCTCGTAAAGCGGCCACCCAGACTCATGCACGCCAAAAAAAAAAAACACAACAATCCTATAAAAGCAAACAAAGACCGGCATGCGAACTTAATAAAACAAAGAGGCCTGTAATTTACCAAAGCTTTTGTACTTTAACGAGTTTATTAATTCAATTTCAAATAATAGTAATCTTTGGGATAACCAATCCAAATTGCTTGTAAAGAAACCCGGGTATATTCCAGTTTATCGTTTTATTGCTTTTAATGTTTCGATTTTATTCATCGTTTGTTAATTATCTACGGTCGAGGACTTAAATAATAACTGTAAAGCTTGTTGGATGGTAAATTTTGTCGAGATGTGCTCAAATTTAAAATGCGATTCTATATTGGAGGCGGCGATACTAATTTTGTCTTACCTACAGTTGAAGATGTATATAAAACAAAATAAATCTAATAATTCTGCATACTTTAAGCTATTATCTATTGTCTTGTTTCTCGCGTTAGATGGGAACACGAAGTTTCCGCAATTTTCCAATACATGTTGCGCAGTAACTTAGATTAGCTATTAACAACGGATTTCTTTGCTGTAATAACTGCGTGTTTTACAACTATTGTATGCCACGTAGTGTGGCGTTAAAGAATATTACACCTACTACTCTATTTTATTCCGTGTGTGTCACAAGAGGCAAGAGCATAATCCTGAAATTAACTAAAAATAATAACAGTTGAAACTGTAGCAAATACTCCTATAATTTATAAATAATTTATATATAATTTACAGGAGAGTCAATCGTTCGCAGTAGATGTTATAGGTAGGCTAAAAATAATGAATGATGAATGATTTATTATTGTGTTTTTTTTTCTAAAATTGAAGTGAAAAACGAACTTACAGTCCACCCGATGATGACTACTGCAAAACATGGACATTTTTATACGTGGTAGAGCCATACTGCAGTTATATTAGAAGTATAGTTGTAGCACGAATGGGTCGGCTCGACCGGGGAAGGACCACGCTCTCACAGAATACCAGCGTAAAATAGTAGCTTTAACCGGAGACCCTTTTTACTGGAAACGAGGCATTCCATCTTAGTCCTCACGGGTGACAACGCATCTGCATTTTGATTCGTAATCAAGGATAATACAGATGTCTATGGGCCACAGCAACCACTTACCATCAGGTGGACTGTGTGCTTGTTTGTCACCCTATCCTATAAAAAAAATCTGCAACCAACTTCAAACAAAGCTTCAGATACGTTGTCGCCTCTGCTACGTAGTACTATTATTTATTCTCCGCCTCTGCGGATCAAAATGGAACACCAATATTTGTCACAGCTTTCTATGCCCTTCGGACCACAATAGAGCAATGCCCACTGCCAATACATATGACAAATATTGTCGGATAGCTCTACCACCAAGTACATAAACAGCTATTGACAGCCCAATGTGGTGACTGAGTCTCTCCAACACGTCCAAGTAATACTTCTCCGTTGGCGTATTTTTATAATAGTCTATGTTAGGAAGTGGAGTTATGGCCAAATACTCAAACGCTACTCAATGTTAAGATGTCGTTAAGTCTCTTTGTGTCGTATTCACTTTAACTCGAAGTGATAGAGATAGCACGAGATTTAACGGTGTTTTAAAATTGACTAGTGTTTGAGTATTTCGGCATTAAAAAGGCTGCAAAGGATATCGATGGTAGTAATTAAAAGTGCACAATCTTTACATTAGAATAGCTAAATAGCAGAATAGCTAAAATGTTGCCTTTATGATTATTCTTACATGATTTTTAAGATTGCAATTCGAATAAATGTTCATTCTAATAAAAATGAATGCATGAACCTTGAGACGGGAAACATTTATAACAGATGTACCTCTATACTCCATTATCAGAGGGTTGCACAGCATGCAACTGACAATGCCACTGGAAGAAAAAGTCATCTTTCAACGTATAACCCCACTTAGTAAATCAAAGACAACATTTGTATGCGTATTACAACAATTTTTTGAACAGAGCTTACTACAAAATTGGTTACATTTGACCACCCAGGTGGAGCTTCGTTCCAATATCTAACAATACTACTTTTCGGTATGAAATACAGAAGACCAATGAAATGATTTTTATCTCAACACAAAACCATTTGCTTATTATGTTCTGGGGGTTCATTAAAATTATATATCTTTGGTGTTCAAAAAGTCTCCCACGGCGTTGCGTCTCTATTATTGACCATAAATCAAAAAGTTAACAACCTACTTAAAAGGTTGAGGCGGGTGGGTTTTTGTATGGAGCTCAAAGCGACCGACGTCTGCTTGGCTACGGGAACGCTGAGGTGTGCCCTGTTGTTTGTTTGTTTTAAGATCCCAACGTTGCATTAGACTTTTTTTGCTTCTTTTCAATGTGGTTTTTATACGATTGAATTCTTATCAGTATTCGAGTGCCTTTTTATTTTAGGTTCGATAATAATGCACATCATTTTGTTAGTCGTATTCGGCTCTTTTAGGTCTATAATCTGTATGCTTTCTGAATAATAATGTTGCTATCGTTAGTTTTAAAATTTACAAAATACTCAGACTGTATGACGAAATGTCAACGTTTCGTTTGACTTCAGCACCTGACTCATCAAAATTCTTATGGTGTCTCGAGTGGCATCGTTATTATTGGGCCTGGCTACGACGACAACCTAAAAAATTGAAATAATTAGCCTGCGATGTACGCATCGTACGTGCTGCGAATAGTTTACGGTTATGTAACTATTTTTGAAGGAAGAACAAGTCGGTACTTGTTAAAATGATATTAAATGTGTTTATTATATTTATGTAATTGTTAGTTGTTAAAATATTTATGTGATAGTATAATATCCATTCTTTGACCATTTAATTGAGTTGAATGGTCTATATCCACTGTATGCAAATAAATTAACGCTACTCGATAGCACAGTGGTTAGCTCGCGGTTAGGTTCGCTTCGGCGCTGCGAGATGCGAGATCGAATCGCGCACTGTAACACCGAACATAGTATTTGTATGGCCGACAAATAATTGTTTCTGGTGCCGTTTGTCTATATGGTTTGTTGTCCATATGCAAATTCCGTTTGCACAACGCCTTTACAATACTGTAGAATGAACAATTAAATATGTATATAATCGTAGATGTAAACAAATAAAACAGTGTAGGTATCTAGCTTTAAAAAATAATTTTAACCGCTTTATAAAAAACGAGGAGGTTAACAATTCGACTGTATGTTTTTGTATGAATT